ATTAGTGTTCGTTCCCCACAAAAGGTCAAGATTGAATAATAACTCTCGAAAAATGTGAAATCAATGACCGATGTTAATCAAACTCCGAATAGTATGCGATATATATAATTCTATTCTCCCTTGTAATTCCACCACAAAGGGTGTACATAAATGGCCAATGCTAAAATTAATCGACAACATTAAAAATGTAAATCTGCATAGACAATTTTCTACCGTTTATCGTGAGATACTGTGAGATGAGGTCACGATAACTTTCGAAGGTAATATTCGATTTCGTCCAAACTTGGTACATATTAATATTTTTGTCAAACTTAGATCGAGTTCGGAATTTCAAAAATATATATTTTCTGCACAGAAAGAGAAACGATAATCCGATTTTGCTTCAACTTTGCAAATACTAATATTTGCATTAGTGCTAGGTCAGGTGCGAAAATGGACAATATCGGTCCACTCCATCAAGTACCTCCCACACAAAGGGTCAAAATTTTGAATAATTACAACTCTTATAAAATGTGATGTAAGAGTCCGATTGTCTACCCAATATTTTTATAAACCAAAGATCCGGTGTTAAAATATAGTATATCGGTCCACTCCTTCAAATACCTCCCCCACAAAATATCGGAATTTCGAATATGCATTAAGCTCATAAGACGCGAAATTAACATCCGATTCCACTTAGACTTGGCACGTCTGAGTATTTCTATCAACACCGGATCTGTTATAAAGAAGGTAGAGATCGTCCCATTCCTTCTGATATCTCCCCCACATGAGGTTCAATATTTTGAAAAACGCCAAGGGCGAAAGCGAAATAAGTATCCAACTCTCTTCAGATTTCATACAAACAAACATTTTTGTTAACACAAGATCTGTTGTGAAGTTGATATATATCTGCGAACCCCTTCTGGTACCTCACCCACAAAAGCTCACAATTTTCAAATTTTTACAATTTGCTTTGACTAAATATTTCTATGAACAAGAAGCCTGATATGAATATGAAATTTATCAGAATTTATGATTGCGCATAAAATTGGATTTTTCTTGTAATTTTGCCCAATATTTTTTATTTCTATTAGATGAAGTATAAAAATGGAATACTTCGGTAGATTATATCTGGTACCTCAGGCACATTTTAATATTTTTTAAAAATTATCGCCTATTTCATATAAAGTGAAGGAAAAGGTCGATATAATCCATACCAGGCACGTCACAATATGGAAAAATGGGACTCGAGTTGCGTCGCCTTTTTTCGACCCATTAATGACGCAAGTCGGGACGTTAGTGTATATGAGATTTGTTATTCCGTTTGTAACACCTCCAAACATTCGCCAGAGACCCTAAATAAGTCCACATTGTTATATTTCCTCATATAGCCGTGCATTCGGATAATTGCTATCTAGAAATTTTAACCACAACCTCTAAAGGATTTGTTTAGAATTCGATTTTTGTATTACGAATTAGGTACCACATGGCCCCGTTTTCGTGATACTTTTATTAAAAAATATTGTTTTGTTGTCTCATGAAATCACGAATATTTTCCTTTTTTATACACTCCATTATAGTAAGGAGTATATATAAAGTTTGTCATTTCATTTGTAAAACCTCAAAACATCCATTTTAGACCCTACAAAGTATATATATATAAACTTATCAAATATTCGACTGAATGGTGGATGCAAGTAAATTTACGCTAACCTATTAAAGTAAAGCACCTTTAATTTCATTTTACTTTGTCTACAAAATTTTCATAATACTTTCTTTATGACTAAATGATGATTACCGCATTCCTGCACACGCCTTTACCTAAAAGTTGAAGTCAATTCACATGTATTTTTACTTTCCTCTATTCAGTCATTGTTAACAACACAACGAATGAACATAACAAAGGGGTCACATATTGTTGACTTTAAAAATACATTTTGAAACCTGGCCGAATTTTGGATTTAGCCCTCATATAATTGTATAGACCCAACAAAAACTTCCATTAAGGACTTCCCTTAACAAGGTCACTCTAGCTTCCGGACGAAATGTTTCAATAATTTTGCCCAGATGTGTTTTGCAGGCTTGCAGGCCTTCTGGTATTGAAAATGCGCTGTACTACAGCGGCAGATTAAAGTTTTTTTAGTCGCAATTTCAAAGGAGTGTTCTGTAAATTGGCAGTTCGTTTTCCCAGTAAATATAGGTCCAACTGTAAATAAGTAACTGTACCTTCAAATATTAGGTACTTTGATGATTTTAGCTACATTTTTCAACATCTCAAAACTTGGTATTTCAAGTTCGTAATAGGGGCCGCCCAGCAGAGAATTGGCTGTAGAGGTCCACATTTTCGTATAACCACATATAACTGTAACACCTGATATTCGGAATTTTTTAGAATTATAGCGATATTTTTCAACGGATTTTTTTTAACATTTTGCTAGTTTGTTTCTAATGATGGAGGGTATTAAATGTTCGGTCCGGCTTTATTTTAAGAATTAATGTCTCATTTTACCCAAAAGCCCTTTTTTGCTCCGCCCGTATTGAATCTTTTGATCTAAGTCTAACACCCTACACACTGCTCCGCGGTTATGAACATTAAGGGCTGTTTCAAGTTTTACGTCTTTTATCATAATGTTCTTCTTAGTTTCCCGTCTCCAGGTCTCCGATTTGTAAAATTCGGTCTTGTAGTCGAACACCCACTCCCTATGCTTAAGTTAATCATTACTTTGAAATGGGTCAAGCAGAAGATAGTTCGTTCTCATTACATTTTAATGGGTTTTTCAGTTCATACAACTTCCAAGTTTGATCCAGGTTTTGGTATAGCCTCAAAGCAAAGGCTCTGCCCGAATTCCTTTTTTAGTCAATAAAAACAGTATTTTAAGGCACTGTTCGATTATAAATACTTTTAAGGCTATCGCTTAATATTAATCGTATGCAATTGATACCTAAAATCAGATACAATGATCGAAAAAAATCCTGGTTCGTACTGCCTCATATCTGGGATTTTATGGTTTTAAAGGTGTTTTACAACGTACTGAATGATTAAATGAAAAACAATGATTAAAGAAAAACTATCAGAAATACTAATTTTTAATTTCATAATTATTGCGAGAGTAAAATTTCTCTCTCATACATACGCGCTGGCTAACAAAGAATATTTGCCCTGTGCATGTCTGGATTAATTGATGGCTTCTTGTGAAGTTAGTGCAATACAAATACATATGATTTCCTTCTACTGCTTTTAGTTTCGTATAATACCTTAAAAGTGCACACATTAAAACGCTGTTATTTAATAATGAAATATAAAATATTGTGTAATCCTTTGAGAATTCTGCTACATGTCTTCTATTATATGGGACTTTCAACTTATATTTCGTATAAAGTTTCGCCTAAATGGCAAAGACTTAGGCCTGTCAAATTACTAGTGATTCATTTGTTGATTATAGCATTTTTAATAATTATGATTTTGCAATATAAATATGATCCACCGTACCACGATAACTTTGGAAAGTTTTACGATATATTGAAGTTTGTGGTCTTATTTGCTGTTCATCTATTGACATTGTTGGAGACCATAATAACTGGGCAACATGTTTGCGAATTTTTTCACTTATACTATAAACTAAATAAATCGTGGTTTAAATCTTCCCGTCCATTAGAGACCATACGGCGAACCTATTGGAAATTATTTTGTTATTTGGGATTTTCTCTTGTGTTGACGGTTGCAATTGAGATCAATTATTTAGTGCAGATTCGCAAAAAACGCGATTGGTTGGTGTTTTTCTCTTCATATACGCCGAGCATTTTCGTTTGTCGTTGTCGTATTCCGCAACTTGTCATGTACCTGGAGCTTATCAGAATGAAATTGTTGCAATTAAATCAAAAGATACAACAATATGCTAATGGCACCAAAAAAGTCCAGCTTAAGTTTTTCGAGAATTTCATTTATAACGATTTGACACAGTGGGCAAAAGTGTACGAAGACATATATGAAACGTCTGTTTTGGTGTCAAGATCTATGCCCGTTTCTATACTCGCAATATTTGTTGCAACCTACGTCAAGATTTTATCCGATTGTTATTGGTCATATTGGGTGATTTATGCTAAATTCGAATTACATGGTAAGAACAAAAATATTTGATTAAGAGGAAAAGTTTTGCAATCACTGATTAAATGTTAAGGCAGTTGTTAAATATAACAAGTAAAAACGCTGTAAGTTCGGCCGGGCCGATCTTTGAATACCCTCCATCATTGGGAACGAATTTGGTAATTTTCAAAAAAATAAAATCCGTTGAATTTTCTGTTAAAATCTTAAAAATACCGGTACTGGTATATAAATGATACTGGTGGCTAAAATCGTCAAAATACCGAGTATGGAGGGGGAGTTATGTCGGGGCTACACCAAAACGTGGACCTGCACAGATAATTTTCTGTCTCAGTCTGTAGTATTCATTACGAACGTAAAACACCAAATTTGAAACAATTCCGGTGAATAGTGTCGCTAAAGTCATAAAAATACTGAATATCGAGAGGTACTATTATATGAGGGCCATACGAAGACGTGGACCTGCGCAGACAATTTTCTGTCTTAGGCTGTACTATCCATTACGAACTTTAAATACCAAATTTCACCAAAATACCTTAAAAAAGGGAGGTACCATTATATGGGAGCTATACAAAAACGTGGAACTACATGACCCATTTTCAATACTAAAAGTCCTGCAGACATAAACACGTTTGAGTACAATTTTATCAACCTACTTCATTTCGTTCGGAAGCTAGAGTGATTTCCACAGACGGACGGACATCGCTAAATTGACATAGAATTTTATTCGAGGTGTTACAAAAGGAATGACAAACTTAATATACCCTCCCTACTATGGTGGAGGTTATAAAAAAACATCTTTATTTAATTTGTTCCATTATTTGTAAAGACATGAAATTGTTATAAGAAAATTTAGAATGTTTTTCAAGTTACTCAAAATAATTAAAAACAAATTAACTTTTCTAATTTTTATTTTTAGAAATATTCGAATGCTCGCTGCTTTTACCTTCAGTATTGAATATACTTCTAGTGCTTGTCGTTTCAAAAAACTGCATGCGAACGGTAAGATGCTGCATATGTGTATATGATTTTAAAAATCCTAAATCATCATTATTGTCATTTTATTAATTGATAAAGATTTTGTATATTTGGGAACTATAGCTGCAAATTAAGGCTGCAAATACATAAAAAGCTTAAAGTCATGGCTAGGCAGGGCATGGGCATGGCAGGGTTTTTGTGCGGCTCTGTAATTCCTTTGTGAAATGTCACAAAATAGGCCGTGCCATGACTTCAAGCTTCTTATGTACTTAGCCCTTAACATTTTCGAACATCTTTAACCGTTGTTTTTATTATACAATGAATTTGTTCCGAAATTCATTTTAATATGGAAATTTGAATTGAAGCTTCAATGAAGACTATGGGCTGCGCAGAAGCTGTAAAAAATTGTTAAATATGTTTATTTTAATAAATGTCATCATAACGTGCATTGTGTACGAAAAATAATTACATTTTTTCAACATTGGCAGTGCATCTTTTGGCTTTTTGATTGATTGGATGATATTTCCCCGAAATCTGTATAATCTGTGGTTTGTAATTACAGTCCTGAATAGTATACAGCTATCTTTATAAAAAACTATATATAAATTTGATAATGCATCGATTTGTTCCTTACTTAAAACGCTTAATACTTTTACTTGTAATAATACTATCCTATTTAATTGCAGGCAAAATTGATACCACAATCCCTACACAGTATCCGTCACAGTGTTGGAAATTTATGTTTGTCGCGTAAGGTAATGCATATTAATTACACCACATAAAATATCGAATGACACGTTATTTAGGTTATAATAGATAACAAATTTATAAAAGCGCTTATTTTGAGATTGGTCTGTAGGGCGTTTAATCTCATTATACATAAATATGAACCGATATAGTCCATCTGCGGACTTCTCCATGATATGGTGGAAGGTATATAAAATGTGAAACTTGTCAAAATATTGCGGACTATTGGGTTGAAAAATGTTACAAGAACCATAGACATACTGAACATCGGGAGTTATTTTCATATGGCGATTATACCATTGGATTCTTGTTCTATGAAAATATAAAATGAAAAGTATCTCCTTTATATATAAATATATTTTTCATTTGACATTTCTATCTTTTGTAAAAGTTTTCATTTCAAATTTCCACAGATCTAATTATTATACAAAGTTTTGGACTATCGATGTACATTGAAAATCATAAATGAAGTTGCGGATGGTTTGCAATAAACTTCATTCAAAAATTCTTTTAACTATTAACTTTACAGATACAGCATTTTTCCTTGCAAATATGTCATCAGCAAATTATTTTCAAAGCTTTCGGATGTTTTACAATTGACTGTTACATAGCTAGTGGGGTAAGTAGAAATATAAAAAAAAATAGAAACAGCACAATAATTTTTACTTTCTCAAGATTTTAGGTTCTATTGCAACCTATATGATGTTCTATATCCAATTTATGCCGAAATTCAATTATTTGTAATTGTTTTTTTACAAAATATTCTTTAAAAGATCTATGTGTGTTCAAAATTAATAAATGGCTTCTGAAATAAATAAAATCCATGTATTTACAGCATTTAATACAATACTTCAAAAATCAATATGAGCCTTTATTAGTACATTCCAAATTAATACAGAAATCATAAAACTAAATACTTGATTCTGAACCTGAAGTTTGACATTAGCGAAGTAAGGTAGCTTCTTTCTTCTCTGTATGCGAAAGTATTTTGCTAAGTTTGGGAGAACTCAGCTTTAATTAAATGCCATTGCGATCTTCTGGTCGTGTTTCACTATAAAATCCGAGATTCATCGTTGGCACCATTTGACTATAGAAAGACATGTCGGCGGCTGAAGGACGTACAGGGGCTGGTAGAGATACTGCTGGTGGTATTGGCGGCACGGGAACAGTAGCAGCAGTACTTGACATTGGTTGTTGAGCAGCGACATGGTGCATTTGAGACATTTCCATCGATTGTGCATGTACAACGCCAGCTGCATTGAGTATTGCTTGTTGGGCTGATTTGGTAGCATTTTGTTGCAGCTCATGCATTTTCAAATGCATATCCAATTCATCCTTTCTATGAAATGTTATACGACATATATCGCATGGATATTGAGGCCCATGTTGTTCTAACTCGTGGCGAGCCAGCTTTTCACGACGGCTAAAACCAAGTCCGCATTGTTTGCAAGTAAACAAAGTATCTAAATGTAAAGCTTGATGTCGATGAAGATCTCTTTCTCGGGTAAATGATTTCCCACAAATATCGCATGGATGTACACGGGGATGGGATGATTTCGTTGTTTGCGGCTTCGGTGGTGGTGGTTGTGGAGTAGAAATCACTGATGGTATTGTTACCGGTAGTTGCGGAAAAACAGGTCTTTGGGCAAAATTTACATTTTGCATCATCACACGTTGCTGTTCATCGACTGAATTTAATTGATTTAACTCTTGACTCAAGTAAGGATTTGATGGAGGTGCCAATTCAAAATTATCTTGAGCTTGCATATTTGGAAAAGATGCTGCGGACTTACTTTGGTTATGTAAAGCTTCCAACTCTTTTCGTTGATGAGATTGCTCATGTATTTGAAGTTTATCCTTGCGAGCGTAAGTAGCTGGACATTTTGTACATTTAAAAGTCTTGATTTCCGAATGTGTACGAGCATGTTTCAAAAGTTCTGTACCTGTAGTAAAGGAACGAGGACATTGCTGACAGACGTACGGTTTAATACTGCTGTGTATACGCATATGTTTATGGAGATTGGTATTGCGGGAAAAGCTTTTCGAGCAAAGAGGGCAAGCAAATGGCCTCACGCCTGTATGTACAATAGTATGCTTCTTAAGATCAGATCTTCTACAGAATCCTTTGCGGCACAGGGCACATATGTACGGTTTTTCGGGATCATGTAATTCTTTGATATGAAGTATCAAAGCTTGACGATTGCTGTAAGCTTTGGGACAGAAATTGCAAATGTAAGGCATGGCTCTATCATGTAACGTTTCATGCTCCAATGCCTCTGAGTGTGCTGTAAAGGCCATATCACAATACTGACATAGATATGTGTTGGTAATGGTAAACTCTAAACCCTTATGTTCTGTTAGTACGGATGATCCATCTTTCGGTTGATTCGATTCATTAACGATTGATGTTTTAGGAACACCAGCATTTTTATTTAATGTAGCTGGCTGAGGCTTCGCATTAAATGTGTCTATTTCTTTTGCTGGCATATTCATTTCTTCGGTATCCGAGTCAGACTCCATAGAAAAATCATCATCTGACGATTCACATTCTTCATCAGGGTTAACCTCTTGTATTTCACAATCATCATCGGGAATAAATAAACCAGGATTTCCATTCAATCCGGGTCTTTTGTCTTCAAAATCTTCTAGAAATGCATTTGACTTCATAAGCTCGAGCCTCTTCTGTAAAACTTCTTCAGTCTTGTGTACAATTTTACGAAAATTGTTAAAGGCATTTACCATCTCCCAACAGCGGTGGCAAATAACATGTGGCAAAATGTTGCAGGAGCGATCATACTGAAATGAAAGATAATACTCATTAAGGAATATCGTTATTTTTTTTTTTAATTTACACTACCAATGCCCCGATTATGGCAGAATTGGTTGATTGAAAATATTTATGAAACTAACGAAAGTGTAATTAAAACCACTGAAACATAAGTAAGCTATTCGGAAAGAACAATGTCATGATTTGCTTTTGTTCCGGCCGTTATGCTACGGTGGAACTAATACAATCATTATATGCCAGATAGAACTACCCCAACCACGAGTGCCAGCGAGGGCCAACGCAATGTAGAGAGGATGGTCGAGAGGATGTATCAGCGAGCCTTTAATCCAGAAGTTTATCAAGAAAATCTTAGTGTTAATACAATGTAACCAATCTATTGCAGCTTAAGGCTGCCCTGATTTTCATGGTTATAATTCTTTTTGGCGAGTTTTGATTAAAAAGTCAATCTCTGCTCAGTATGCAGTACAGACCCGCATACTGCACATTATATTTTTTACCGTCCAGCCAAATCTAACCAACGCACTTCATAAGGTTTATGCCTCCAGAAGAAGTGTGCTATAATAAAACCAAAAAAGATGATCCTGCATCTGTTATAACATTTCAAAATTCACCATTGGTAGAAAAACCCAGAAAGGAAAGGTCAAAAGTCGGACTGGATGGACAATTTGGTACACTACACTACTATGGATTAGCTTATCTATCAATAACAAGTTAAAGTTTATATTGGGATTTTGTGTGGAGTAAGTAATACCAACAATGATCGTTACTGAATTTCGGCTTTAGAGATCTAATAATTTGAAATGGGATGGAACTTATATATAACATATGTGCTACATCTCAATCTGAATAATGTTGAAGGAGGTTCATTTTTGCTGAGAGAGATTATATATATATATATATATATATATATATATATATATATATATATATATATATATATATACATATATATATATATATATATATATATATATATATATATATATATATATATATATATATATATATATATATATATATATATATATATATATATATATATATATATATATATATATATATATATATATATATATATATATATATATATATATATATATATATGAAATCGTGATAAACCAGTTTTACTCAAATTTGGAACACGTCTAGGCTGCACAATAAACGGATATTTTGTGCCAAATAGACTCGAAAAGATACATGCGAGCTATATTCAAATGGGGTTGGTCCTTTACAAATGAGCTTTTCAAAATTTCTTCCCAATGCGAAAATAAATGCGACCTGTACTTTTATAACAAACATTTTATGGGCAGATGGACGGACATGCATATATCAACTCAGACTGTGCTTCTATAGAGATGCATGCTACACAAAAGACAAAATGTTCTGTACCAAGCCATAGTCATTTTTACAAGAGATGACTATTTTCTTCCGTATTTTAAACTGGTACTTATTTGGTGATTGACAACACTTAACTTATTTCTTATTTTGAAGATAGGAAGATTGGAAGTTTTATCCCTCCACTGAACGAAAATGGCTGTATGTAAACGAGCAAAATTGACACAGCTTCATGTGTATTCAAGCAAAATACCGCATTTGGGGAACAGGAGCATACATTGAAAAGCTAATGCATAAAAAACAAGTCACTGTTTGGTGCAGATTTTGATCCAGAGGCAAAATTGGGAAATTTTTAAACAAGGAGTGGACGATAGGTTACGTGGCCGAAGTAATTTTTTGTTTATAAAATCTGAAGAGGAGGATGTTGTTAAAATTTATTCTCAACAGGAGGATAACACGTGCCACACAGACGAAGCTACACTCTATTTTCAAAAATTATTTGTCAGATCGTTTATAGCTCTTGTTGGTATTTTTGGAGTAAAACTGTTTTGCAGACTCGAAAGATTATTCACTCCGGTACGGAAATCCGTACATGTTCTTTGACTTAATAAGATAAATACTGTTAACTACGCGCGCACATTTCATTCCTGTGGTTTTCTTTACATTTAATACACGTAGTCTGTATTGTCGTATTCTTCCATCATTTCCCCCAGCTGCTTATAAACTACCACAAAGAGAATGAGTCCCCTTTTTGATGACGCAATTATATACATATATATATATATATATATATATATAGTAAAAATTGAGGATACATTATCTAATGGGATATACCTTTATCCGAAATAAATCGTAGAGAACATCTTCCAATCCTTTTGTTTTGTTACCTTGCTCATCTATTTGCACTTCCTCAAAAATGTTAATAACTTTTTCAGTTTTATCATTTTCAAGTAAACAAAGGCGACATAATTGTTTTTTCTCTTCGCAGTTTGACAGTAATGGCTCTGCGACAGCTTCACTCTCCATGTCGTTAGGCGGAGGTGGTTTTGCTGATTCCAAACAATCCAGATCCACCATTGCTACTTAATTATTTTACAATTTCCAGAAAAAATTCACAACTTTTGTGCGACGTGTTGGCGACAAGACAAGCTATTTATTTATTATCGAAAAACGATTTTTAACAAACTATCGATAATTTTATCTCGATTTCGACATGCTGTTAATCAGATATCGACGATTTGCAGTGTTGCCAAGTCACCCCCAAATTGTTGATATTAAATAATGTCATGTCTCTACTCGTAATCAAACAAGGTTGTTCGCTGTCAGGAGTACGAACATTTCCACACGGCACTATTCGTTATTCGTGAATTGAAAATGTACGCACAAATTGTGTTCAAAAAAAATATTGCTTGTAAAATGAAATTACCAGTTTTGTGAATACTATGCTCATTTCCAGAACCTGCAAGAATGTAAAAATGGTACTACGATAAGCACATTTTTCCTTTAGGATATCAATAAAATAAAGGTAGTTGATTCTATTAGTGGGTTCTAGAACAGAGTATATATAAAATCAAATTCTAACATAAAATAATAGAACTCATGGCACAATTACAGGCAGATTAATTTAATGTGAAAAATACAACTCCGAAGCTTGAGTCGCAAATCCAAATGTATTAAAAACAAATGCTAGAAGTTGTTTTGTTTATTTGACACATTTTCAGAATATTTTCTGTTCCAGAACTTGCAAGAATCAACTATTTTTTTAATTTTTTCTATATTATAAAGTGAAAATCGGTTAACATAGTAAAAAATTTTACATTCTTGCAATTCTGCAACATACCAATTGCAATTTAAGAGAAACATTTTTATTATTTTTGTAAAATATGCCACTCGTAACACGTAAAAATGTTAAATATGAAAATAAATTTTATTTCAAAAATGCAAAATCGAGTACTTTAGAAAAGGGTTCCAATATTTGATGTAGCCTCCCCTACATGGCAAAAGAACAAAGACATAGAAGTATAAAGATAGGACAAGACAGAGTAAAATATGGCAACCCTGTGAAAAAGACCTCTGTTGTTATGATATCGTAAAAACATAGTTACAAATGTTAAGCAATTTCAACCGCTAAGGCCATATGCAATTATTTGGGAAGGTATATGGAATAGAATTTTGAAACCAATATTTTGGATTATCCAAACTTTTATTTGTCATTCTTTCCTATAATTGTGTTTTTTTATATTAACATACCTATGCCATGAGCTGTCATTCAAGGTAGTATAGCCACAAACCATTTGCTCAGAATGCATTTTGTCTAGTCTTTACCATTTTAGGTCTTTGAAAAGAACAAAGACCTAAAATGGTAAAGACTAGACAAAATGCATTCTGAGCAAATGGTTTGTGGCTGTACTACTTTGAATTACAGCATATGACAAAGGCATGTTAATATAAAGAACACAATTATAGGAAAGAATGACAAATAAAAGTTTGGATAATCCAAAATATTGGTTTCAAAATTTTATTCCATATACCTTCCCAAATGATTGCATACTATCTTAGCGGTTTAAATCGCTTAACATTGGTAACTATAACAACAGAGGTATTTTTCACAGGGTTGTCATATTTTACTCTGTCTTGTCCTATCTTTATACTTCTATGTCTTTGAAAAGAATACAGGTCAGCGTTCGAAAATAAACAGTATGGTACTGTACCGTAGTGTTCTGTACCGTTCCGAGGTGGAGTGGTACACTAAGACAATGTACCGTACCGGAGCACAACCATTAAAAAATATTTTAGTGATACTGTACCGGAGCACAACAAGAATCGTACTGTACCGCAGTCGGAGCACTAAAAAACGTAGTGTTCCGCAGTCGGAGCACTACGAAATCGTAGTGTTCCGCAGTCGGAGCACTACAAAATCGTAGTGTACCGCATGGCGGAACATTAAAAAAATAATGTATCGGTAGTGTACCACATTATTACGATTTGTGAGAAAAATTAGATGTTTTATGATTTTGATAATGCAAAAATTACTAGCATAATTCAATATTATGAAAATAAAAGCTGGATTTATTTTATTTGTCATGTATGTTTAGATTGGTTGCAAGATTGAAGAAAGTAGAAAAATATGGGAATAGGTAGAAAGAATAAAAAAGGACCAAATCTGAAGTCATAATAATTTGTATTTAACCATTCAAAATTGAAATTTTCCACGAAAAAGGGTATTTTAGTGGTTGCATTGCAATGGGTTATTATGCAAATAATTTACCTGCTATTTTGTGGTACCGAAAAATGAATGAGTGTTGGTGTAAAAAACTAAATATTTTACAGTGTATGGCTGAGTGTTTAAAATCAGTTCGATTTTCTAATGTGGTCATGTGCTACACTACGATTTTTTAATGCACCGATTGCGGAACACTACGTTTTTTTAGTGCTCCGACTCCGGTACACTACGATTTTTTAATGCACCGATTGCGGAACACTACGTTTTTTTAGTGCTCCGACTCCGGTACACTACGATTTTTAGTGTTCCGACTGCGGTACACTACGACTTTTTAGCGCTCCGACTGCGGTACACTACGATCATCGTTGTGTTCCGGTACAGTACACTATGTTAGTGTACTGTTTATTTTCGAACGCTGATACAGGTAGATGCATCAACGCTTAGGAGCATTGATATGTCAAAAAAATTTAATGTTTTTTTCAAATATAAATAGATTTTTATATGTTTTCTTATACTACGTCATTCGGAGGCTATTATAATTCGCGTTTTTCAACATTTTTCACAAATTTAAATAATTTTTCATTCAACATTTTCAATTCCAAAATTGATTTGACAGTTCATTGTCCCAGCAGCTGTGTCGACGCGTCTACCTATATTCTTCTACCATGCGCCCCTATTGTTTTGCCATTGTTACAGATTTTTTGGTTAACAGCAAAGAAGTAATGCTAATAGCATGTTCACACGATAAATTGAATGACGTTGTTTGCTCTCAGAATAACGTACACGAATTAACCCGTTCATGCGGCACGATTCGTAATTCATAGTAAAATAATTCTTTTTTTCAAAAATATTGTTTGTTTAATTTAAAAGGGGAATTTATACGAAAATACATTAAATTCACACTAATATGAATAGAAGAATTATTGTTTTCCTCCCAAAGATTTATTATATCATTAATTTTACAATTTTCATTCATTTTTAACTTTTTGTGTAAATGTTGACATTTTGGACATATTTTAGTATTTTTCTATTTTCAAATTCTGCTGGAGAGACACTTGTTATACTTTTTTTCTGCCGACACAAACATTTTGAAAATATTGCATCTTTTGTTTCGAGTTTTCTGTGGAAATTTCAACTCGTGGACAAAATGCGCACCTCGGATGAGAGGGAAAACAAAATGTACTTTCGTTTGAATGTACATACGCCATTCAACATTGTAGTTTTCATTCATAATTTTCAGTCTTCCCAAAAAATTTTAAAATTTCATTAAATTTTCCTATTTTTAATTTTTAAATGTCATAATTTATTTTTTCGATAAATGCTCTCATTTGTTAGGGATGGGACATATTTTTTCGTTGTTCTGAGAGTGATTTGATTTGAACAACGTACAAATATGAGTGTTCGCTCAGGAAATTTTGTGTGAAGAATTAGATAGTTTTTTCATAGTTAAGGGCCAAACAACGAATAGAGAGCGAATCAAGTGCAGTGGAAACGCCACATAAGTTCACTTGGCACGTGATTCGCTCTCTATTCCTTGTTCGACCATTATTTAACATGGTAGAAGAATATAGGTAGATGCATTAACGTTTGGGAACATTGATATGTCAAAAATTTTAAAATGTTTTATCAAAAATAAGTATATTTTCAAATATTTTCCTATATGACCCAAATTGATGGTTGTTGTAATCTAAATTTTTCAACAATTTTTACAAATTTCAATATTTTTTCATTCAACATTTTCAATTCCAAAATCGGTTTGACAGTTCATTGCCCCAGCAGCTGCGTCGTTGCGACTACCTGTATTCTTCTACCATGATTAATTAATGCTATGTTCTCATTACACTTTCAATCACGTTGTTCGCTCTCAGAATTAGGCACACGAATTAACCCGTTCATACGGCACGATTCGTAATTCACAGTAAAATAATTCCTTTCCTTCCTTTTTTCACAAATTTTGTTTGTTGATTTGAATGGGAATTTATAAAAAATACATGAAATTCTCACTAATATGAATAGAAGAAATTATTCTTTTTCTTCCAAAGAATAATTATATCATTAATTTTACAATTTTCATTCATGTTTTCAACTTTTTGTGTAAATATTGACATTTTGAACATATTTTTGTATTTTTCTATTTTTAAATTCTGCTGGAGAGACACTTGTCAAAAATGTTTCCTGCCGATACAAACATTTTGAAAATATTGCCTCTTTTGTTTGCAGTTTTTGTGGAAATTTCAACTAGTGGACAAAATGCGTACCTCGAATGAAAGAGAAAACAAAATGTACTTTCGTTTGAATGTACATACACCATTCAACATTGAAGTTTTCATTCATTATTTTCAGTCTTCCCAAAAATTTTTAAAATTTCATAATTTATTTTTTCGATAAATGCTCTCATTTGTTAGGGATGGGACATATTTTTTCGTTGTTCTGAGAGTGATTTGATTTGAACAATGTACAAACATGAGTGTTCGCTCAGGAAATTTTGTGTGAAGAATTAAGTAGTTTTTTCTTAGTTAATAGTGCGTTTATATATATGAGGGTTAACCCACTGGATTTGGATTTAAATCATAGATGCCCAGTAGTGGCTGATTTCAGCAATTTCAACTCACACGTATTCTTACGCTCTTTTGTTTGATCGCCAATCAACCAATAGGAAAGCAGAAATATGAGTGGGAGAGACAAGCTACACAGGCAGAAGTTCTGTGTAACATTTACATTTAATCGTAATCGAGACTGCTGTTAGTGAACACATAAACTGAAAATTATTGCGATATGTCAATGATGTCATTTGAAAAGTATTTTGATTATATGAAATGTGTTATATGTTATAAGACATTTAAAAAAATAAAAAATATAATTTAAAAAAACATTTTGAAACTGTTCATAAAGACATGAATTGTTTGCAGGGGGAAGAAAAAGAAAAACAATTTAAAATGTAT